GGGGAGGAGTCCGAGCTTTGAGTTCTAGTGGAATATAGGTTTTTCTGAGATTTCCCCCCAGGAATCGCTGGGCTGGCCTTGTGGGGCTTAAGGCATTTGGCGTAGAACTCCTGGTCGCAGCCAAAATATTGCTTGCAGCCTTCAGGGACCCAACGCGACTCATGTGCCCTAGCGCCGGGAAGAGTCACCACGCCAAGCCAACCAGGAGCCCTCCTGCTGATGTGCTGGGGCCCATGCAGCACTGCCAATGCCTGTCCTGTCGTCTCTTTGGGTAAGTGTTGCCCTCAGACCCGCCACACCCTGCCAGTGGAAGACGGGAAGATGCCAAGAGGTTCCAAAAGCTACCGCTTTCTGGGAGCCGTGCGAGGTGCTGAGCTGGATGCCACGGGGAGCACACAATCCATCATCGCAGGGTTCTGCACTTGGCTTTGTGAAGAAGGGGAAACGGCTGAGCTCAGGGCTTGGCTTTGGGCCCCCGGATTTATTCCCTCTGCTCTAAGGTCCAAGCCAGGCTGGCCAGTGCCACGGGGAGGAGGATGTGTTCAGTTCAGTCCCAGCGTTCCTTGCTCTAGGCCTATGACTCTGCTTTGTGCCTTTACCTCCAGCGTGTTGGGCGCTCCCTATCCCTCTCAGTGATGCATGCCTTGGTCCCATCTCCTAGAGGGGCACACTGAGGCTCCGCCAGGCCACCAGACCAGCCTGATGGCACTCTCCTACCATGCATACCCGGCCCACAGGCGGCCTAACTCACACACTCACGAAAATTCTTCTATCTGGAATTCACGCATGTTTGAGCTCTTAATCAGATCAGCGTATTTGCCCACAACCTCCTGGGGTCCTACACATGCATTGGCCTTTTTCATCTTACACAGGTCTACGGTAACATTAGAGAGAATATTTCTTTCAGTTAACATTATACAGTGAGGATTTTTCTTTTTTAAAATTAATTAGTTTAGGTAAACTCTACCCCAACCTGGGGTTTGAACTCACCACGGTAGATCAAAAGTCCATGTTCTGCGGACTGAGCCAGCTAGACACCCCTCGTGAGGATTTTTCTATGAGGACTCTCTGTCCTGTCCCTCCAGGGACCAGCTGAGTGACTGCAATGTCTGTCACAAACGGATAACAATACCTGGCTGGCACTGGGCTTGTCAATTGCCGGGACTCCCGACTAAATAAATGCTTTATAGGAGTTCTCTAATCCATCTTAATTTGCAAACGATGAAACTGAGGGCCTGAGGTTACGGTAATGGTCAAGGTCATACATTTCCCCAGCGTGGAGCTGGGAAACCCATCAGGCTTGTACTGAGTGGCAGCGGGGGTTCCATGGTGAAGAAACACGAGCCCGCCACGTTAGGTGGCTCTCTTCCAGAACGGTGCAGCGGGACCCTGCTTCTGGCCAAGTCACAGAGCCGACCCCACTCTCTCACCAGGACGGTGAAGAGTCTCAGGCTTCATATTCAGGCTCGTTATGCGGTAAACTGTAGTGCTTGGAGCTCAGGGAAGCGCCGGCCGAGGGTGTCGGATCCGGAAGCCAGGGGGCGGGGACCCGCAGGGTCAGAAGTATCCTAAACGCCCGCGTTTACACAGCGATCCCTTCCCAAATTAAATCCGTAGCGTTTGTTTTGTTTTTCAAGTATTACACAAACGACGCGCGCAGCGAGAAAATTGAACCAGGACAGAAAATTAAGAAACAGATGAGAAGTGCGGGCCACCTCCGAGGTGGCACAGTGCTCAAGGATTGGGGTGGCGCAGGCAGGTTCCGCATTCCGGAAATTATTATATTTAATGATTTTTTAAAAAATCAAAGAAGGACGCCCCGGTTAAAAAAACAATGAGAGAGGGGGCACCTGGGTGGCTCAGTCGGTTAAACGTTGTACTTCGGCTCAGGTCATGATCTCACCGTTCGCGGGTTTGAGCCCCACGTGGTCTCACCGTTCGCGGGTTTGAGCCCCACGTCGCGCTGTGTGCTGACAGCTCGGAGCGTGGAACCTCGTACGGATTCTGTGTCTCCCTCGCTCTCTGCCCCTCCCCCGCTCACGCTCTTTCAAATATAAATAAATATTTTAAAAAGTTAAAGCAAACAAAACAATGAGAGCTACAAGGTGATATAGGAAAAGAGCTGGCTTCCGGGGCTCGGATGGAGTGGTAACCACAGAGCGGCGCCGCCCCGGCGCAGGCTGGCAGAGGAGACGCGCGGCTGGGGTCTCACTCGGAAAGAGGCCAGACTACCCCGCCCTTCCCAGTGAAGCCGCACTCTGCCCGGAGGTCCTCTCGCCTCCTTGCGTTTTTCCCAGCTAACAGACAACGCTTTTGCCAAATCAGAATAGCTCCTGTTTTCTTATTTTGTACAGACACCTCTTAAATCAACACCATGTTGTGTATCTCAATACCTGTCTTGAAAAGGAGGCACAGAACCCGCAGGGATCGCCGCAGACCCCGGACCCTGGCAACAGCCAGGAACCCTACCCCCGCCCCTTGCCTCCTCTGGGACGTCTTTCAAACTCAGGACTCAGGCTCAAGGCCCTGTACCGGAGGCGCAGTCCCAGGTCTTGCCTACTTGCCCCTCACGCTGGGCTCCTGGAAAAGGGGGCCCGTGGCTTGGGTTTCATTTATTTATCACTGTTGGCACAATACCACCTGCCAGGCACTGTCCTGAGCTCTTTACAAAATGGACCCATCTAATCCTCTTTCACACGTCTGAGTTCTTCTGCTGAGGAAATAGATGAAAAATCATTCTTAGGTTCAGAGAGGAGGAGTAACTCACCCAAGGTCACACAGCTGGTCAGTGCCAGAGCTTGGTTAAAAAACAAAACAAAACAAAACAAAACAAAAACCTAGGGAGGCTGGTTCTGAAACCTGAGCGCACAGCATCCTCCCACCCCCAGTTCAAAGAGTGGGCAACAAGGGGGCGCCTAGGCGGCTCAGTCCGTGAAACCTCCGACTTTGGCTCAGGTCATGATCTCGCGGTTTGGGAGTTCATTTGAGCCCCGCATCAGGCTCTCTGCTGCCAGTGCAGAGCTGCTTAGGCTCCTGTCTGCCTCTCTCTCTGCCTCTCCCCCTCTCGTGCACGCTGTCTCTCAAAAGTAGATAAACTTTTTTTCAAAAAGAGAGGGGAACAAGAAATGTTTGTCAACTGCTTAAAGAGTACAGTAATAATATTAGCTAACGATTCTTTGAAGGCTTTTATGTACCAGGCATAACATGCCTATGAAATGGGTGCAATTAGTCTTCACTTGGGGCAGGAGAGGAAAAGAGCACAGAGAGATGTGACCCACCCAAGATCTCCTAGTGGGGGAGGCATTGCAACTGGGATGCCAGGGGGGCAATCACCCCTCGCCCCACTCAGCGGCATCTCGGGAGACTTTACTGCAGAACAGGGTGGAAAATGAGCACCCCTCACAGCCTGGTCACCCACAGCCACCACAGGCTCCTTACCCTGCTGCAACCCACAGCTGCATGGGATAACAATACATATTATTGCCTAACATCTGTTGGTGCTTGCTTTGTGCCAGGCCTAGGGCTAAGTGCTAACCCTGCAAATCTCATTCTGTTATTTCCCAAGGAGGGAACTGAAACCCAAAGAAGTTAAGGACACTGCCTCTCTAAGGCTACTCTGCTAGTGTGGACTGGGGGGAGCCCGTGCTTGAATCAGACGACGACGCCTGTAGAATCCTGGCTCTTTAAACCATTCTCAGCAGTTGTCCGACTTGCCAGAGGACACAACCTGCTGGAGGCTGGAACAAACCCAAACCCCTGCTTGCCCTGACTCCCTTGAATTGGACTCCCAGGGACAGAGCCTGGAAAACCACATTTGTAACCAGGTGATTCTCATCATCTGGCAAGTTGCAGAACTGCAGCTCACAGAGGCCCCCAGACCCTCCAGGGTCTGGTTCTGGAGGACCTGGGAGAAACTGGAGTCAGATTTCCCCTCTCTAGGTCCTGCTCTTCCATCCTAGGGTCTCCGTGTGTCTGCTGTGATACAGTGGTTGTGCACCAGCCAGGCAGTGTCGGGAATCCTGGGAGCAGGGAGGAGGGCAGAAAGAGGTAGAACCAAGGGGGTTGAGGTTCGGAGAGGTACTCTGGGACACACGTGTCTTGGCCCAGACCACAAAGCCACCCCTGTGGGCTATACAACCCAGTGCCTGCCAGTACTGCATAGGAGAGAAGAGAAATTTGGGGGGATTATTCAGAGACAGTCCATCCGTTCCTCCAGGCTCTAAGCTCCACCCTGGGGTCCCACAGGAAGGGGAATAGAGGGAAACCAGCCTCAAGAGGGATTTATAGTGTGCCAGGCTTTCCACTGGCCCTCTGTGTGAGGCCATCAAAGCCCCACAATTAATTGGTCATCACGGGCTCCATTTTACAGATGTAGAAAGTGAGGCTTTAAAAGGTTTTGTCAGTTGCCCTGTTCCAACAGTTAGGAAGTAGTCAAGTTGAGTTCTAACACCAAACCCTCTTCTTTCCAGTACACCCCGCCCCCCAATTATCCTCACCCCACCCAGATTCCAGTTTACAGAAATCTCGATTGAAGCATTGACTCGCATTGGCTCCAACTGGTTTCCTCTATCCCCAACTTTTTAGGAGAGGTCTTTTTTTTTTTTTTTTTTTTAAAGCTGCTATATAGAAAGGAGTTCTTATATGCAATGAATGCAACAGTTATCATTCATTATTGTTCTTCTGGGGCCCTCCATAAATCCCCATGCAATTTCAACAATAGGAAATATATCTTGCTAATGACCTTAGTTTAGCTCTCTCTTTACAAATTAAAAAGAATAGGGGCACCTGGATGGTTCAGTAGGTTAAGCGTCTGACCTCAGCTCAGGTCGTGATCTCATGGTTCGTGAGTTTGAGCCCCATGTCGGGCTCTGTGCTGACAGCTCAGAGCCTGGCGCCTGCTTCAGATTCTGTGTCTCCCTCTCTCTCTCTGCCTTTCCCCCCACTTGTGTTCTGTCTCTCAAAAATAAATAAATAAACATTTTTAAAAATAAAAAAAAAAAACAACTTAAAAAGAATAGTTTCCCCTTTTCTCCAACTCCAGGCAAATATGACGCTCAGTTATCATCATGTTTGTCCTCACTGGTGGTTATTTGACTTACTTCCATGATCTAGAGTTCCTAGCCACCTAGATAAGGATCCAAGAGCCATTTGGAAAGATTTGAGGTTTAGAACATGTCAATAAAGAAATGATGGTTTAAAAGGTCCCTAAGTAATCATAATCAGAATGGTAGTAGTGCGTATGTGTATAATGCAGCTTGACAAGCTGATTAG